TGATTGGATATGGAAAGCTTGTTGCTAATAGGATATGGAAAGCTTGTTGCTGATTGGATATGGAAAGCTTGTTGCTGATTGGATATGGAAAGCTTGTTGCTGATTGGATATGGAAAGCTTGTTGCTGATTGGATATGTAAAGCTTGTTGCTGATTGGATGTGTAAAGCTTGTTGCTGATTGGATATGGAAAGCTTGTTACTAATAGGATATGGAAAGCATGTTGCTGATTGGATATGGAAAGCTTGTTACTAATAGGATATGGAAAGCTTGTTGCTGATTGGATATGGAAAGCTTGTTGCTAATAGGATATGTAAAGCTCATTGCTGATTGGATACTTTTTGAATCCCACCGCTGGATTGGAAAACTCCTCATGCTCATAGTTGATTGGTTGTGTGTAACCCCAAGAAGTGTATAAAACCAGAGAACAAGGAAGCGGGGCTCAGAATTTCGCAGCATGCCCCTCTGATCCCCCCCTAACCTGGTCAGTTGCTGTTAACACTTGCTGTACACCTGCTGTACACTTGCCGGAACAGAGCAAGTGGAGAATAAAGGGGGAACAAAATCAGCCCTTTGGGATGCTCTGAGCATGGGATGACCACAGGCCTTTTGAGCAGAGAAGACGGCAATCCAATGTCCTTGTATAACTTCCGAGGCAAAGGCAGCTTCTTGCAGATGATTTTAATTAAAACCCATGCCTCTGTGATCCCTGCTTGACATCTTACATAGTATCACTCTCTCCGTCCTGTAGGAAATATGCATTTTTCTCCTGTGCTTTCTGTCACACGTAGACTTCTAGCCTCCTGTAACCATTCGTTTATTAGGCACCTACTGGGTGCCGTTATTGAAAGCAAATGCAAAGGAGAATCATGTCCTTTGAGAATCAAGGGTCCTAACTGTTTCTTGGCCTCTTGTGAAGCCAGAAATCTTTTTTTCTAACCCCTGCAGCCAAATGCTTGCTTTCTCCTACAAGTTCCTATTGAGAGCTTTGCACTTTTCATGTGACTTCGTATGTTTTGTTTTCATTGCTTGTCTATCTTTGTAGACCTACTAGGTTAAGTTCCACAAGACACGTTTCTTCCTTGGCATCTTAACGGCACACAGTAGGTGCCTAATAAGTGTTTGTTGAATGGATTAGTGCATGCTGCACGTAAATGCAGGCATGGGTTCTAGAATGACAGCGTTTCTCTTTGACTGTGGACTTCCAGAAGGTAGAGGCCTTGCCTTCTCAAATTCCCACTCCCCAGAGTTGAATAAAAGTCTGCTGGTTGAGTGAATGATTTGGAATGGTTCAGAAATGATTCATGGCCGGGCATGGTGGTGGCTCACGCCTGTCATCCCAGCACTCTGGGAGGCCTAGGCAGGCGGATTGCTCGAGGTCAGGAGTTTGAAACCAGCCTGAGCAAGAGCGAGACCCCATCTCTAATATAAATAGAAAGAAATTAATTGGCCAACTAATATATAAAGAAAAAATTAGCCATGCGTGGTGGTGCATGCCTGTAGTCCCAGCTACTCAGGAGGCTGAGGCAGGAGGATTGCTTGAGCCCAGGAGTTTGAGGTTGCAAGTGAAAAGGGAGTTACCAGGCTTTCTATAGCTTCCCTAGAAGACAAATCTGGGTGCTGAGTCAGGCCAGAGCAGCCAGAGGTACAGAATCATCCTGTCTCTGAGCAGCTCCTGGCTGGGCAGGACACAAGAACAATTGATTTGTTGTCTTCCTCCTGGCTCCTGTCTCTCAGGGGTCAAGTTCAGCTGCACAGGGCATTAATTCCTCTGTACCATTTTCGCCCGAAAATAAGACAGGGTCTTATATTTATTTTTCCTCAAGAAGACACCCTAGGGCTGATTTTCAGGGGATGTGTTATATTTTTTAAGTACGGTACAACCATCTGCATTGATTCAGATAGAGTGAGGTCATCTTCTTCTGGAACATCATCCTCACTCTCCAGACCCCGAATCCCATCCTGAATATCTTGCGACTCTGTTTCCTTTAGAGCCACCGGCCCCGATCTCTCCTGTGGAGCACTAGAGCTCTCACGGGGCGGATGAGAAGGGGTGCTCGTGTTCTTTCCCGCTCCGCGACCACACGCGTGGGTTGTGCAGATGTGCTGCGCAGCCACGCCCATCATGAGGGCTGATTTTCATAGCCACGCCCACCACTAGGGCTGATTTTCATAGCCACGCCCACCACCAGGGCTGATTTTCAGGGTAGGGCTTCTATTGGGCACGTGCTTAGACATCCTGTGTGGGCTTATTGTATGGGTGGGTCTTATTTTCAGGGAAACACAGTAACTGGAACTGCTCCAGCCGTCCTGGGACGGTGGGTGGGGCAGCCCCAAGGGCAAAGCTGGGGGAGGCACAGAGAATAACGGAATCGGCCCGGGGCCTTTCTCTGATATCGTTGCATCTTTGCTGAATTCATCAACCGGAGCCTTCTGACCTTGGGACTCTTTTCCATATAAAACAATAAATGTCCTTATCATTGAGGACCTTTTAAATTGGGTTAATAATTAATTAACAGCCTCCCACGTCTAAATTATGGCCCCACATATATTTTATCTCCTCTCCTGCTTTCCTTCGTGGTCTTTGTCACGTCTACGCTTACTTTTGTGTGTGTTTGTTTCGTGTCTGTCTCTCTCACGGGTTTGCACATTCTGCGTTGCTAGGAGCTGACAAGTGCATTTCGTTCCCCTTGGAATTCCAGGTCTTCAGAGCTGGTCCTGAGACACAGGAGCTGCTGAGAGCACGTTTGTTGAATGACTGAATAAGAGGCTCAAAAATGGTCGGCTTCCTCCTCTCATTTCCTTTTCCTCCCCCTCCTTGTTCAGCAGGGTAGAGCTGACAGAGCACAGGATTGCTGTAAGGAACCTCAGTTTCCCCCCCCCCCGGAACCGACCAGCTGGGAGACCCCAGGTGGCAGCCTGTAGATTAGTGGCTTTCAAGTTTTCCCCTCAACGAACAGTAAGAAAGTACATACTGCACGGTCGGCCCCGTGCACACACGTGCATTTAACTAAAGCAAAAGATGTATACATAATAGTAACTCTTACTATGTGTGAGGATATACTCTGTCATTTTTATTCTATTCTGTATCATTTTTAAAATGCTCCTTCTATATCCCAGCTACTCGGGAGGCTGAGGCTGGAGGATCGCTTGAGCCCAGGAGTTGGAGGAGGCTGCAGTGAGCCGTGATCATGCCCCTGTACGGGGCCAGCCTGGGTGACAGAGCAAGACCCTGCCTCTAAAAAAAGGAAAAAAAAAGAAAAAATGTTAGTTTTGATGCACTACATCAATTTTATTAATTAGCAACCCATAGTTGAAAACCAAAACAAAACAAACACACTTGGATGAAATGAAATGTAGAGACTTTGAAAACCTCTGCTTTTCTCCTCTTTGCCATGAAATTGTTCATAAAACTCCAGTCTGTGGACTTGAAAGTGCATAGACTTATCAATAACCTCATTATTTCCATTTTCCGGTGGAATCTGTCCTCAGCTCTGTCCATTCTAATCGGGCATTTTGGGGTTTTTTTAATGAAATGTACAGATCCTGGCATGAGTTCATGCACAAGTACTTAGTGTGCTTTTGCTTATTTCTCTCCAGTTAGCACAAACACAAACAGGACTGCATCCTTCCTCCTCTGAAACTTACATGTCCCCATTCTACATATTTTACACGTAGGCCTCATTCAGATATGTGTATATATGTAACAGTGTATGTATGAAACAGTGTATACATAACAGTTATATATGTAACAGTGTATGTATGTAACAGTGTATATATGTAACAGTTATATATATGTAGCAGTGTGTATATGTAGCAGTGTGTATATGTAACAGTGTGTATATGTAACAGTGTGTATATATAACAGTGTGTATATGTAACAGTGTATATTTGTAACAGTGTATGTATGTAACAGTGTATATATGTAACAGTGTATATATGTAACAGTTACATATGTAGCAGCATACATATGTAGCATTGTAGACATGTAACAGTGTATATATATGTAGCAATGTATATATGTAACAGTTATATGTGTAACAGTGTATGTAGAAATGCATACATGTAACAGTGTATACATGTAACGGTGCATGCATGTAGCAATGTATGTATGTAACTGTGTATATATGTAACAGTGTATACATGTAACAGTTATATATGTAACAGTTACATATGTAGCAATGTATATATGTAGCATTGTAGACATGTAACAGTGTATATATATGTAGCAGTGTATATATGTAACAGTTATATGTGTAACAGTGTATATATGTAGCAGTGTATACATGTAACAATGTATATATGTAGCAATGCATAAATGTAACAGTGTATACATGTAACGGTGCATGTATGTAGCAGTGTATGTAACAATGTACATACATGTAGCAGTGTATATATGTAGTAGTGTGTATACGTAACAGTGTATATATGTAACAGTGTATATATGTCACAGTGTATTATGTCACAGTGTATTATGTCACAGTGTATGCATGTAACAGTGTATACATGTAACAGTGCATGCACGTAGCAGAGTATGTATGTAACAGTGTATATATGTAGCATTGTAGACATGTAACAGTGTATATATATGTAGCAGTGTATATATGTAACAGTTATATGTATAACAGTGCATACATGTAGCAGTGTATATGTGTAGCAGTGTATGCATGTAACGGTGCATGCACGTAACAGTTACATATGTAACAGTGTGCCCGACACTCCAAGCGCCCCGCTCCCCCGTGCGGTCCCAGCCCCAGGAAGCCGCGTCCCGACCGCTCCAGACGCGCGGCGGGGAACACAGACCCTCACTGTACTCGCAGCCCTGGACACACACCCTGCCCTTGTCCCCTTGCCCTTCGCGGCTTTGCGGGTGGGACACCCCCCCCCCTGGGCGGAGGACAGGGGAGAGAGGCCGCACGGAGACGCCCCAGCCCCAGCGCGCGGCCCCAGCGCGCACGTATATTTAGCAAACCACCAGGCGCGCCTCGGCAAGGGGGGAAAAATGCGCCCAGCGAGACGACCGCGGCGGGAGGGCATTATCTGCTTGGCTGGCCGCGACAGCGACAGCTCCCCGCCCGCCACGAGACCCGCGGGGACCCCGAAGAAGGTGTAACTCTCTGTCCCTTGGAACCGGGCGCCCCTGCAGCCGCCCGGGCGTCACGTGAGCTGGCAAATCAGATGTAAGTGATGGCTCCAGGTGTCACCGAGCCACTCCGGGGTGGTCACATGTCCTCTCGGAAGGGCACTGGCGTGCCCCAGGCCAGAGTGGCCAGGACGCAGCGCCGTGCGCGCTCTGGGGGCGGGGGAGGCGAGGCGGGGGCGCTGCGGGGAGTGCGGGCTGGGGACAGGGGGTGGGGACAGGGAGGGGAGGAAGAGATGACTATCTCGCTGAACTTCCCTCTCCCCGCGTCCCACACGCTGGGAATGGAAATAATAATAATAACGACACCAAGAGAAAGTGCTGGCAGCCGCGATGCTACCACCGCCCTACTTCCGAGCTGCCCGCCCCGGAGGGTTTGGGGCGTCAGGTGCAGACTGCGGCTGTCGCCTGGGCTTTTCTCGGAGGGAGTAAAGTCCCTCCGGGCGCGCGGGGTGACCCCACCTCTGGGGGAGCCGCCTCCTCCTCCACGCAGCAGCCCGGGTGACCCCAGCCTCCTCCTCCCTCCTCCTCCTCCTCCTCCCTCCTCCTCCTCCTCCTCCTCCTCCCTCCCTCCCTCGCGGCGCCTCCCCCGCGCCGGCCCCCGGAGCAGCGGCGAGGAGGAGGGCGGCGGCGGCGGCACCGACGCCCGCAGCTCCCGCCCGCAGCGCGCCCGCCCGCGTCCCCGGCTCCCACGTCGCCCGAGCGGCGGGGGACAGCGCGGTGCCCGCGTGCCCGCAGCCCCGGGCCCGCGCTGCTGCGCACGTCGCTTCGCCCGGCGGCGCGGGCGGCGAGGACGCGCCGGGACGCAGGGGGCGGCCGCGCCGGGGTGACCCGCCGCGCACCTGGAGGGGACGAGCCGCGCTGCGCACCTGGAAAGTTACCGCCGCGGTGAGGCTCGCGGGCTGGGGCGCGCGCGGGGCGGGACGGGGCGCGCGGGGCGGGTGCCCGGTGTGCGCACTGCGCTCGCTCGGGCGGCGGCGGCATCCGCTCGCCTCCGGGCAGAGGGACAGAGGGAGGAGGCTGCTCCTTTCTAAGAAGCTCAGCCCGGGCCAGGAGGGGCGTGCGCCCAGCCCCTGCGGAGTCCCCAGGGCTCTCCAGGGATTGGGGTTCAGCGGGAGCAAGGGGGGGAACCGGGGGCTCCACCACCGCCAGGCCTGGCCTCGCCCCGCTCCGGGCGGCCCCTGGGAGACCGTTCCCCGGGGGGTGGGGGGACGGGGACAATGACTTCCAGGAGTCCTGGTAAACTTGCGTGGGTGTTCGGTGTCCCTCTTTGGGCACCGCGAGACACTTCCACGTTTCTGTCATTGTCTCCTCCCCCCTCCCACACCTCCCCCTGGTGTTGAAAGAAGAAACCAGTGTAAACAAACGAGAAACCCAGACATCAGCCCGTTTGGAGATGGGACAAAAAGAAACAGGGGTTCAAGTCTGGGAAGAACCAGGGGTGCCAATGGATAGCGGCGGAGGCCGTAGCAGCCGAGGACAGAGAGAAACGGCGGGGGCGGCATTCATAGGCGGAAAGGGTGACCCCAGGGCAAACGCCTTCATCATATCCCCATCTTCATCTTTTGTCCCCAAAGTCTCCCGGGGTGGTTTTCCTTACATTTTTTTTTTTTTTTAAATAAAGGAAGAGAGCAACACGTACCTGCCATGCCCCCCCGCTCCCCGTGCCACGCCCCCCCGGACGCTGCGCAGCTCCTTGGAAACTGCCTCTGTGCGTGCTGAGTTTCCATTTAACTCCTGCAGAAGGCGATAAAATAGTCTTGCACGAGAGACAGCGGAGCATGCCAGTCCTCTGGTTCAGCTTTGCGCAGCGCGAGCTAACCAAGGGTGCATGGGATTCTTTTTGGAGAAGGAGGGAATACGCCCTCTCCATTGGAACGCTGGCTGTGCCGCTCAGAATAAAGGACCGCAAAAGCTGAGGCCCAGGGGTTCCCTGTCTTTTCCGTGAAACACTTAACCCCAGTCCTCTGGCATCGTGGCAACCGAGGCTAATAGAGAACGCGCCTCCCAGGAAAAGGCGCGTGCTACCCGGGAATGTGGCCCGAGTCTTGTGATCCCGCGGTTTCTTGCTCCCTCGAAGCTATTTTTCCTACCAACGATCCCCTCTGTCTCCTGTGTTTTCCTTTTCTCTATCTTCAGGTAGCCCGGTTGTGCAGGGCTTGCAAATTCTCCTGAGTTCCCAGGACTCTAGAAATCCTCTGCATGAACCGTGATACCCTCTTGAAGTTGCTCTTCTGTGTGTAAAGTCTTTCCACAGGGCTTTGTACCGCGTTTTCCCCAAAAATAAGACCCACCCATGAAATAAGCCGCAGCAGGATGTCTAAGCACGAGCGCAATAGAAGCCCTACCCTGAGAATCAGCCCTAGAGATGGGCGTGGTTACGAAAAATCAGCCCTGGTGGTGGGCGTGGCTATGAAAATCAGCCCTAGTGGGGGGCGTGGCTATGAAAATCAGCCCTGGTGGTGGGGCGTGGCTATGAGAGACAGCCTAGTGGTGGGCGGTGCTATGAAAATCAGCCCTGGTGGTGGGCCCGTGGCTATGAAGACCAGCCCTAGTGGTGGGCGTGGCTATGAAAATCAGCCCTGGTGGTGGCGTGGCTATGAAAATCAGCCCTAGTGGCGGGCGTGGCTATGAAAATCAGCCCTACTGATGGGCGGGCCATGAAAATCAGTCCTGGTGATGGGGCGTGGCTATGAAAATCAGCCCTGGTGGTGGCGTGGCTGCGCAGCGCATCTGCACAAACCCATGCGTGTCGTCGCGGAGCGGGAAAGAATCACGAGCAGCCCTTCTCATCTGCCCGTGAGAGCTCTAGTGCTCGACAGGAGAGATCGGGCGGTGGCTCTAAGGGAAACAGAGTCGCAAGACATTCAGGATGGGATTCGGGGTCTGGAGAGTGAGGATAGATGTCGCAGAAGAAGACGACTTCACTCTGTTGAATCAGAGAGCAGATGATTGTACGCACTTAAAAATAATAACACATCCCCTGAAAATAAGCCCTGGGGTGTCTTCTGGAGGAAAATTAAATAGAAGACCCTGTCTTATTTTCGGGGAAACACGGTCATTGGGTTTCTGTCCAACTCTTCCATCAAAGGCTAAATTCGGTGCTTTTGCCTCTGATCTCATTTGCTTTGACCTGTGGGTAAGACCTGAGCTGCAGCCTGTTCACCTCTCGCAAATGGTATCTGCATGGCCTCTGAGATATTTCGAGATCTCTTATGTGTACACAGTTCTTTTTCCCTCTTTGTTGTTTGCTTCTCCTCTTCCTCCTCCTCTCCCACAAATAATACACACAGATATTATCTGTATGTTCATACCACATTTCCCCCAAAATAATGCATTCACTCCTTCAGCTACAGCCTCTACTTATGTGCCAATAACTGCTAACTTATCTTCACCTTCTTCCTTTCTTTCGATGTTCTAGTCCCTCGTTTCTTACCGATCACCGAACTCCTCTTCCTTAGGGTTTCTACAGGCCCTCAAAGTCACTGTGACCCAAATGAAACTCACTGTCACGTCCCTCAAACCTTCAAAACGGATTCCCAGGTCAGTAATGACAAGGTCAGACTGATGCTTTTAATCGTGGCATTGATGTGCACTGAGC